CCGGGGATGCGGCCTGGGGAAGGATGGGTGGATGGTAAACGCAGACCCTGGGGGTGAACGACTGGGTAGCAGAGGAAGTGTGAAGAGCCTGTGGCCTGTGAAGCAACCTTGAAGGAAGTTGCAGGAGGATGGACAAGGATGATCCTGCAACCAGGAACCAGGAAGTGGACCCGGAGGTGTGGAGGATGAGCGCAACAAGCAAGGGAGAGCCTCTGTCGCATCTGCAGCTGGACGCAGCAGGTAGACAGAAGGATACTCCTGCCCCATCTGACAGGAGGAGACTCTGCCCCACCTCCATCTGGACCCAGTGTAGACAAACAGGTGTCCCTACTCCACCTCCACCTGGTGGCCTAGGGGCAGATCTGTGCCTCGCTCCAGGAACGATGAATCTGGCTTAGCATCACAAATGCCAGACGCTGCAACATTGATGCACTGCCTTCATACGGTGGAGCTGGTCACCCAGGATCATCAGAAGTTGTCGTACTCTGGACTTGTACCAGTTGACAAGCCCATAGGCACAGGAGATTTCGGTTTGGGATTAGGAGAGGCGATGGACGCTGGCTAGAGGAGTTTTGAATTGGGACGTGGTTTGGGAAGGATAGATAGGGAATGGCAGATTGGGGGAATGTGACGGGGTAGAGGAAGGGAGAGTTTGACAGAAGCAACTCTGAACAGTTGCAGAGACACAAGGATGATCCTGCAAACCAAGGAACCAGGAAGTGACCCGGAGGTGTGGGAGGATGAGGTAAACAAGCAGGGAGAGCCTCTGCCCAGCCCAGAAGCTGACGAGTGTAGACAGAAGGATACCCTGCCCATTCTTACCTGGACCCAGTGCAGGAGGAGATCTGAATCTCACCCCCCCACTGTGGACAAACAGGTGTCCCTACTCCACCTCCACCTGGACCCAGTGTAGACGGGAGGAGACCCTGCCCTACCTCCACCTGGACCCAGTGTACACAAACAGGTGTCCCTACTCCACCTCCACCTGGACCCAGTGTAGACAGGAGGAGACTCTGCACCACCTCCACCTGCACCCAGTGTAGACAGGAGAAGACCCTGCCCCACCTCCACCTGGACCCAGTGTAGACAAAGAGGTGTCTGTACTCCACCTCCACCTGGACCCAGGGTAGACAGGAGGAGACCCTGCCCCACCTCTACCTAGACCCAGTGTGGACAGGAGGAGACTCTGCCCCACCTCCATCTGGACCCAGTGTAGACAGAGATGTCCCTACTCCATGTCCACCTGGACCCAGTGTAGACAGGAGGAGACTCTGCACCACCTCCATCTGGACCCAGTGTAGACAGAGATGTCCCTACTCCACATCCACCTGGACCCAGTGTAGACAAAGAGATGTCCCCACTCCATGTCCACCTGGACCCAGTGTAGACAAACAGGTGTCCCTACTCCACCTCCACCTGGACCCAGTGTAGACAGGAGGAGACTCTGCCCCACCTCCACCTGGACCCAGTGTAGACAGAGATGTCCCTACTCCATGTCCACCTGGAACCTACAGTGTAGACCCTGCCCCACGTCCACCTCCATCCATTGTAGACAAGAGGAGATCTTGTCTCACAACCACCTGGACCCAGTGTAGACAGAAAGAGACCTGCCCCACGTCCACTTATCCAGTGTAGACAACAGAAGATCTTGTCCCCTCAACCACCTGGACTCCAGTATAGACAGGAAGAGACCTGCGCCACGTCTCACCCCTCCATTGTGTAGAAAGACAAGAGGAGATCTTGTCCCACAACCACCTGGACCCAGTGTAAACAGGAAGACACCCTGCCCCACGTTCACCTCCATCCAGTGTAGACAAGAGGAGATCTTGACACAACCACCTGGACCCAGTGTGGTGACAGAAAGAGACCTGCCCTACGTCCACTCTATCCAATGTAGACAAGAGGAGATCTTGTCCTCTAACCACTCTGGACCTGTGTAGACAGGAAGAGACCTGCCCCACATCCTCCTCCCATCCAGTGTGTAGACAAGAGGAGATCTTGTCCTCAACCACCTGACCCAGTATAGACAGGAAGAGACCTGCCCCACACCCACTCTCCATCCAGTGTAGACAAGAGGAGATCTTGTCCTCAACCACCTGGACCCAATGTAGGCAAGGAGAGTTTACCATGTCTACCTGGATGCAGTGTAGACAGAATACCCTGCCCCAAGGCCAGTGGGACCTTTCTGGATGGATTACAGGAGGATACGTGGCCAGGAAGAATTCTGTGTTTGCAATTTTCATCCTACCTGTCTTGTACATTCGGGCTTTGTGGAGGGAGACACTGTGTGAACCATGTAAAGTATTTTAGAAATGGGAACAGTGAGCCTGTATTGCGTTTTGTTTTGTTTCTGAATACCCAGCCTGGCACTGAAACCTACCGGTAAGTGAAACCACTTGGACCCTACTGACAATCCTCCGTGGTAACCCTACAATCCCCCTACTCACTACACCTAGCGTAATCCCCCACAGTCCCCAGTCACGACCCCAGTAACCCCACAGTCCCCTACTCACTACTCCCTATTGTAACCCTGCTGGTGTCCCCCTACGATCGCGTGACCTAGCGTAACTGTACAGTCCCCTACCCATGACCCCCTGGGGTAACTCACTGTCCCCTACTCATGATCCCTAGCATAACTGCACAGGACCCGCGCGTAACCCTACGGGTTCATCGCACGACCTATGTCTGCCTGGACCTGTAGACAGGAGAAGACCCCGCCCCACTCCACCTAGACCCAGTGTAGACAAGAAGGAGCCTGCCCCATCGCCTACCTGGATCCAGTGTAGACAGGAGAATGTTCTGTCCCACACACGGTTGAACCACTCACAACCCTAGTGTCACCCTACAGTCCTCCCCTATTCACGAACCCAGCACGACCCCTACAGTGTAGGCTTACGGACTCTTACTGCCAGTGTTACCCAGGGGTGGACAGGATGGGGCGTGACCCTGAACCAGAGGACACAGATCTCACATAGGTGAGGTCCCTCTCGAAGTTCTTACTGGGCGGGATCCGCTCTTGGCCTCAACCTTCATGTCCCAATGGTTGGAATATTAATGCTCAGCCCGTTCTACTGATTTTCCCATTTTATTCCTCTTTCTTCTGAGTGGGTTAAGAATATATTCCAGTGACTGTCTAAGGAGACTATGTCTCCCTCTAAAATGCATTTAGACTGAGTTCTTTTGCCGGATATTTACCAAGTCTCCTGACCACTCTGACCCTCAGTATCCTCCTCTGTCCAATGAGTATGCTGGACTTGGGGATCTTAACATCCCTTGCTAAACTATCCGTCTGAAGGTCTATTAATATCAGTTATTGTTCCTGAATCATTTATTTATGTGTGTATTTATTTTTGAGACGGAGTCTCGCTCTGTCTCCCAGGCTGGAGGGCAGTGGGGCAGTCTCGGCTCACTGCAACCTCCACCTCCCAGGTTCAAGCAATACTCCTGCCTCAGCTTCCCTAGTAGCTGGGACTACAGGCACCCGCCACCACACCTGGCAAACAATTTTTGCTTCAAAAAATAAAATTTTAGCCGGTCACGGTGGCTCATGCCTGTCATCCCAGCATCTTGGGAGGCTGAGGTGGGCAAATCACTTGAGGTCAGGAGTTCAAGACCAGCCTGGCCAACGTGGAGAAACCCCGTCTCTACTAAAAATACAAATATTACCCATGCCTGGTGGCAGGCGCCTGTAATCCCAGCTACACGGGAGGCTGAGGCAGGAGAATCGCTTGAACCCAGGAGGTGGAGGCAGGAGAATCGCTTAAACCCAGGAGGTGGAGGTTGCAGTGAGCCCAGATCATGCCATTGCATTCCAGCCTGGGTGACAGAGCACGAGTCTGTCTAGAATAGAATAGAATAGAATAGAATAGAATAGAATAGAATAGAATAGAATAGAATAGAATAGAAGACTAGACTAGACTAGACTAGAATAGAATAGAATAGACTGGACTAGAATAGAATAGAATAGAATAGAATAGAATAGAATAGAATAGACTGGATTAGAATAGGATAGACTAGACTAGAATAGAATAGACTAGAATAGACTGGACTAGAATAGAATAGAATAGACTGGACTAGAATAGACTGGACTGGAATAGAATAGAATAGACTAGACTAGAATAGACTAGACTAGAATAGACTGGACTAGAATAGAATAGAACAGAATAGAATAGAATAGAATAGAATAGAATAGACTGGAGTAGAATAGAATAGACTAGACTAGACTAGATTAGAATAGAATAGAATAGAATAGAATAGACTAGAATAGACTAGACTAGACTAGAATAGAATAGACTAGACTAGACTAGAATAGAATAGAATAGACTAAAATAGACTAGACTAGACTAGAAAAATAAAATACCTACATCACCCAAATTTTCCCAAGTTGTCTCCCATCCAAATACTAACGAGGCTTGACTCTGCTTAGCTTCCAAGACTCGATCAGAGCAGGTGCATTCAAAATGGTAGGAAAAAAAAAAAGAAAAAAGAGAAAAAAAGGGAGAAAAAAATTTAAAAGACAGAAGAACGAAAAAAGACAACCTTTTCCTCCACGCGAAGACACCGATCTCTAACTTTCTTTTTTCCTCCCAAGATCAATGTTTCTGGTGATCTGGAAAATAGATACAACTTTCCAAGCTCTGAACCCAGAGCAAAACATGCTGTGAAGATCAGAGCTGCAGACGTCCGCATCCTGAACTGGAGTTCCTGGAGTGAAGCCGCTGAATTTGGTAAGCGCTGGGCGGAGGTAAGGGATGTCTGTGCCGTCTGCCACCACCTTGGAGCAGACACAGAGGTCAGCGGCTCTGTCCTGGGTGCTGAGATTGAGTTGAGAACATCGCTAGGAATAGCCTCAGGCTCTGAGTTTATTGTTGAGGCTCAAAAGAAGGAGGGGGTCTCATACTTGGTCCCACAACATTGCTTTGCCGATGTTTTTTCAGAATGGATGAGCTACGCTCCCTTAATAACCAGAGAAGGGCCGGGCACGGTGGCTCACACCTGTCATCCCAGCACTTTGGGAGGCTGAGGCGGGTGGATCACCTGAGGTCAGGAATTTGAGACCAGCCTGACCAACATGGTGAAACCCCGTCTCTACTAAAAACACAAAAAATTAGCCAGATGGGCCAGGCGCAGTGGCTCACGCCTGTCATCCCAGCACTTTGGGAGGCCGAGGCAGGCGGATCACAAGGTCAGGAGTTCGAGACCAGCCTGGTCAACATGGTGAAACCCCATCTCTACTAAAAATACAAAATTAACTGGGTGTGGTGGTGCACACATGTAATCCCAGCACTTTGGGAGGCCGAGGAGGGCGAATTACCGGAGGTCAGGAGTTTGAGATCAGCCTGGCCAACATCGTGAAACCCTATCTCTACTAAAAATACAAAATTAGCCAGGCGTGGTGGCGGGTGCCTGTAATCCCAGCTACTCGGGAGGCTGAGGCAGGAGAATGGCGTGAACCTGGGAGGCGGAGTTTGCAGTAAGCCGAGATCGCACCACTGCGCTCCAGCCTGGGAGACAGAGGGAGACTCTGTCTCAAAAAAAAAAAAAAAAAGAAGGAGGTGGTCTCATACTCATACAGGGTCATGCAATATTGCTTTGCTGGTGTTTGTTTTTTTTTTTTCAGGACGAATGAGCTAGGCTCCCTTCAGAGCCACAGAAGAACCCCACTGACAGCCCTCCTAAAGCCCCCCCTCCCTCTGCCCCACTGGGAAATAGTCAGTCTTCGTCCACTGAAACCATGACCATTCTGGCTCCCTGGCCATGGGGAAGCTCTCTCCCTCTCCTTTTTTTTTTTTTTTTTTTTGAGATAGGTTTTGGCTTTTTGAGACAGTTTAGCTCTTGTTGCCCAGGCTGGAGTGCAGTGGCATGGTCTCAGCTCACTGCAATCTCCACCTCCCTGGTTCAAGCAATTCTCCTGCCTCAGTCTCCCGAGTAGCTGGGACTACAGGCACCCACCACCACGCCCGGCTAATTTTGTATTTTTAGTAGAGACGGGGTTTCTCCACGTTGGTCAGGCTGGTCTCGAACTCCCGACCTCAGGTGATCCGCCCGCCTCGGCCTCCCAAAGTGCTGGAATGGCAGGCGTGAGCCACCGCGCCCAGCCGGGGAAGTTCTCTTCAAAGTCAGGTCTGGGCTGCCTGGGAAACAGGTCTATGCTTTTCTCTGAAGATGATTTTGAGGGCTCCAAATTGAAAGGGGAAGAGGCAGGATATTGAGAAGTACACGGTTTTCACCTCAACAAAGGGGACGGAGGAAAAAGTCTGGGGAATCGGTATTTTACGTCAGATGACACGGACAAAACGGGATACAGGGGTGATCAGAGGTGCATCTGTGTCTGGTGGGCCCGGCTGACTGCACCTGTAAGAAAAGTGTGTGTTTGTTTACTTTTTGGTTTTTGAGGTGGAGTCTCACTCTGTTACCCAGCCCAGAGTACAGTGGCGTGATCTCGGCTCACTGCAGCCTCCACCTCCCAGGTTCCAGCGATTCTCCTCCCTCAGCCTCCCGAGTAGCTGGGATTACAGACGTGCATCACGCTTGGCCAATTTTTGTATTTTTATTTTTATTTGTTTATTGATTTTGAGATGGAGTTTCGCTCTGTCACCCAGGCTGGAGTGCAATGGCACGATCTCCTCTCGCTGCAGCCTCCATCTCCCGGGTTCAAGCGGTTCTCCTGCCTCAGCCTCCCGAGTAGCTGGGATTGCAAGCGTGTATCTCGCTTGGCTAATTTTCGTATTTTGATTTATTTATTTTGAGATGGAGTTTCTCTCTGTCGCCCAGGCTGGAGTGCAATGGCGTGATCTCGGCTCACCGCAACCCTCCGCCTCCTGGGTTCAAGCGATTCTCCTGCCTCAGACTCCTGAGTGGATGGGATTACAGGCACCTGCCACCACGCCTGCCTAATGTTGTATTTTTTTTTTTAGTAGAGATGGGGTTTCACCGTGTTGGTCAGGCTGGTCTTGAACTCTTGGCCTCAGATGATCTGCCCGCCTCCGCCTCCCAAAGTGCTGGGATGACAGGCATGAGCCACCGCACCTGGCCCAATTTTTGTATTTTTATTTTTTATTTTTATTTTATTTTATTTATTTATTTATTTATTTATTTTTAATTTTTTTTTTTTTTTTTTTTTTTTTTGAGACGGAGTCTCGCTCTGTCGCACAGGCTGGAGTGCAGTGGCCGGATCTCAGCTCACTGCAAGCTCCGCCTCCCAGGTTTATGCCATTCTCCTGCCTCAGTCTCCCAAGTACCTGGGACTACAGGTGCCCGCCACCTCGCCCGGCTAGTTTTTGTATTTTTTTAGTAGAGACGGGGTTTCACCGTGTTAGCCAGGATGGTCTCCATCTCCTGACCTCGTGATCCACCCGCCTCGGCCTCCCAGAGTGCTGGGATCACAGGCGTGAGCCACGGCGCCCAGCCCAATTGTTGTATTTTTAGTAGAGACGGGTTTCGCCGTGGCCCAGGCTGGTCTTGAACTCCTGACCTCAAGTGATCCACCTGCCTCGGCCTCCCAAAGTGCTGGGATTACAGGCCACCACGCCCGGCCCATGTGGTGGTGAAGTTGAACAGCTCACCCACGAGGAGATTTCCCTGTGGGCAAAACATGACGCAGGCGGGCGGCCTTTCCATCCTCAGAGCCATCTTGTTTAGGAACCATAGAAAAGGTGGAGGCAGGTTTTCTCGACCTAGTTCTCAGCTTGACTGTTCCCTGTGGCTAAATGCGTCTGGAGTTCGAAGAAATTTAATTTCCTTTCACCGTCCATCAGCCATTCACCGTGAGCCAGCGTCATTGTATGTCTCTGTAGGCTCCGACGATCGAAACCCCAGCTCTGTGCACATTTCGTGCTCCTGATCCTGGGGACCCTTGTCTGTGTCCTCTTCAGCTTCCTCTTTAGGAGGTAATGTGTGAAACCCTGGGCATCCCCCAGGCAGCAACACCAGGCTGGGAGAAAAGCACTTTCTCCAAAAAGTCGAATCTCTGTCTCTGAGAAAGAGAAACACAGCCTTGGCCGGGCGCGGTGGCTCACGCCTGTCATCCCAGCACTTTGGGAGGCCGAGGCGGGCGGATCACCTGAGGTCGGGAGTTCGAGACCAGCCTGGCCAACATGGTAAGAAACCCACGTCTCACTAAAAATACAAAAAAAATTAGCTGGATGTGGTGGCTGCAGCCTGGAATCCCAGCTACTCGGGAGGCTGAGGCAGGAGAATCGTTGGAACCCGGGAGAAGCGGAGGTTGCAGTGAGCTGAGATTGCACCACTGCACTCCAGCCTGGGCGACAGAGCGAGACTCCATCTCAAAAACAACAACAAGGGCCGGGCGCGGTGGCTCAAGCCTGTGATCCCAGCACTTTGGGAGGCTGAGGCAGGCGGATCACCTGAGGTCGGGAGATCAAGACCATCTGGCGACACAAAGTGACATCTCTACTAAATACAAAAATGAGCTGGGCGTGGTGGCAGGTGCCTGTCATCCCAGCTACTCGGGAGGCTGAGGCAGGAGAATCGCTGGAACCAGGAGGCGGAGGTTGCGGTGAGGCGGAATCCACCACTGCACTCCAGCCTGGGCAGCAAAGAGTGAAACTCCGTCTCAAAATAAATAAAAAAATAGAGAGACAGGAGAGAGAGAGAGAGAGAGAGAGAGAGAGAGAGAGAGAGACAGCCTGCAAAGATGTCTGGTGATCCCAAGACCCATCCAGTAATATGGAGAACTTGCTTGGGACCCCACCTTTTTGCCGGATATGAGGCTGCACCGCGGGAGCTCAGCTGTGCGCGGACAGAAGGTGGTTCTTCCTGTCTCCTGTGGCTTTGCCTCTAAGGGAGGGTCCTTCCTGCCTCTCCCAGCTCCTGGGGGCTCCCTGCGTCCCTGGGCTTGTGGCCGCATCACTCCAGTCTCTGCCTCCGTCTCCACATGGCCTCCTCCTCTGTGTCTGTGTCTCCTCTGCTGTCCCTTAGAAGGACACCTGTCACTGGATTCAGGAACCACAGAGAGATACACGAAGAATCACCAAATGATGAAAAGCTTAAGGAACTAGGCAGACACGTTGGCTCACGCCTGTCATCCCAGCACTTTCGGAGGCTGGGCGTGGATCACCTGAGGTCAGGAGTTCGGGCCGACTGATCAACATGGGAAACCCCATCTCTACTAAAAATACAAAATTAGTTGTGCGGGGTGGCGGGTGCCTGTCATCCCAGCTACTCAGGAGGCTGAAGTAGGAGAATTGCTTGAACCCAGGAGGTGGAGGTTGCAGTGAGCTCAGGACCATTCCACGCTCTGGCCTGGGCAACAGAGCAAGACTCTGTTGCCAAAAAAAAAAAAAAAAAAAAAAAATCACCAAATGACGAAAATCTTAAGGAAATAGGCCGGGCACATTGGCTCGTGCCTGTCATCCCAGCACTTTGGGAGGCTGAGGTGGGAGAATCACCTGAGGTCAGGAGTTTGAGACCAGCCTGGCCAACGTGGGGAAACCCCGTCTCTACTAAAAATACAAAATTAGCTGGGCGTGGTGGCAGGTGCCTGTCATCCCAGCCACTCAGGAGGCTGAAGCAGGAGAATCGCTTGAACCGGGGAGACGGAGGTTGCAGTGAGCCGAGATCACATCATTGCACTCCAGCCTGGGTGACAGAGCGAGACTCTGTCTCAAAACAAACAGACACAGAATAACCCACCTCCAACCCAGGAACCATGCTCTTCAAGGCTGGTGGGATCAAGGTGACGTTTCCCCTCAGGCTCAGCCCTTCAACACCAGGGACCTCAGACTCCCTGAAGCTGCCCACAGCTGACTGCCTGTTCCATTCCTTCCCTGTGCCTGAGGCTGCCGGAAATTCTAGAAAGGTCAACAAACTACTTTTTAAGCTGATGTAAGAATAAATCAAAACAGCCTAAAAAAAAAAAAAAAAAAAAAAGATTCTAGAAAAGATTCCCTACTTGACATCACTGTATATTCTTGTAGGATCTTCTGCTTCCCTCAGTTCTTTTTTTTTTTTTTTTTTTTGAGGCTAGGAGAATCTTACTCTGTCGCCCAGGCTGGAGTCACGGTGGCGTGATCTCGGTTCACTTACAGCCTCCGCCTCCCGGGTTCAAGCGATTCTCCTACCTCAGCCCTCTGAGTAGCTGGGATGACAGGTGTGCACCACGATACTCAGCTAATTTTGTATTGGAATAGAGATGGGGTTTCACCATGTTGGCCAGGCTGGTCTCGAACTCCGGACATCAAGTGATCCTCCGCCTCAAGCCTCCCAGTGCTGGGATCACAGGTGTGAGCCACGCGTAGCCTGGTTCCTTAAGATTGTTGTCATTTGGTGATTCTTTCTCTTCTTTTCTTTTCTTTTCTTTCTTTCTTTCTTTTCTTTCCTTCTTTCCTTCTTTCCTTCCTTCCTTTCTCTCTCTCTCTTTCTCTTTCTTTTTCTTTCTTTTCTTTCTTTTCTTTCTTTCTTTCTTCTTTCTTCTTTCTTTTCTTTCTTTTCTTTTCTTTTCTTTTCTTTTCTTTTCTTTCTTTTTCTTGAGATGGAGTCTCGCTGTATCGCCCAGGCTGGAGTGCAGTGGTACAATCTCGGCTCACTGCAACCTCCGCCTCCCAGGTTCAAGAGATTCTCCTGCCTCAGCCTCCTGAGTAGCTGGGACTACAGGTACGCACCACAATACTCGGCTAATTTTTGTATTTTTAGTAGAGATGGGGTTTCAGTATGTTGGCCAGGCTGGTCTCGAACTCTTGACCTCAAGTGGTCCACCCGCCTCGGCCTCCAAAGTGCTGGGATGACGAAGAAGGCGTGAGCCACCGTGCCCGACCTAGTTCCTTAAGATTGTTAAGATTGTTGTCATTTGGTGATTCCTTCCTTCCTTCCTTCCTTCCTTCCTTCCTTCCTTCCTTCCTTCCTTCCTTCCTTCCTTTCCTTTCCTTTCTTTCTTTTCTTTCTTTTCTTTCTTTCTTTCTTTTTTCTTGAGATGGAGTCTCGCTCTGTCGCCCAGGCTGGAGTGCAGTGGTGTGATCTCGGCTCACTGCAACCTCCACCTCCTGGGTTCAAGCAATTCTCCTGCCTCAGCCTCCTGAGTAGCTGGAATTACAGACTACACCACACCCGGCTAATTTTTCTATTTTTAGTAGAAACGGGGTTTCACCATTTGGCCAGGATGGTCTCAAACGCTTGACCTCAAGTGATCCACCTGCCTCAGCCTCCCAAAGTGCTGGGAATACAGGCGTGAGCCACCGCACCTGGCCTAGTTCCCTCAGATTTTCATCATTTGGTGATTCTTTCTTTTTTAATTTTTTTTTCTTGAGATGGAGTCTCACTCCTTAAGCCCAGGCTGGAGTGCAGTGGTGCAATCTTGGCTCACTGCAGCCTCCGCCTCCCAGGTTCACGCGATTCTCCTGCCTCAGCCTCCTCAGTAGCTGGGATTACAGGTGTGCAGCATGATACTCAGCTAATTTTTGTATTTTTAGTAGAGACGTGGTTTCATCGTGTTGGCCAGGCTGGTCTCGAACTCTTGACCTCAAGTGATCCCCCGCCTCAGCCTCCCAAAGGTGCTGGATGACAGGCGTGAGCCACCGCACCTGGCCTAGTTCCATAAGATTTTCATCATCTGGTGATTCTCCAGTGAAGTTGTTTTGCGTAGTTGAGGCGCGGATACCCGCCACGCAGCATCCCGGGCCTACGGCGTCGATGCAAGGAACTCTGGTACCCACAGGCGTGCTCTTCACACTTTCTCTCTGTGTCTCAGGTTCTTTAGGATACAGCGACTGTTCCCGCCAGTCCCACAGATCAAAGACAAACTGAATGATAACCAGGAAGTGGAGGAGCAGAGGTAGGTAGAGAGGCAGGCGGGCTCGGTGACCTGGGACAGAGCGGGGAGCGGGGAGTGTGGGACATGGCCTCTGAATGTCGACTGTCTTGCTTCTCCTCGGCTTCGCCACGGGTGGCTGGAATCTGTATCCCTCTCCTGGGACTTCTCCCGGGTGGGGATCAGAAAAAGTCTTCTCCCGGAGTTGGAGTCAGGTCCTCTCTGTGAGCTCCATCAGGGAGAAACTGGAGTCAGGCTACAGTGGTCAAAACAAGGAAGAGAAGATGGTAGAGATGAGCCAGGCGCCGTGGCTCACACCTGTCATCCCAGCACTTGGGGAGGTTGAGGCAGGTGAGTGAGCGTGAGGCCAGAGTTCGAGACCAGCCTGGCCAACGTGGTGAAACTGTGTCTCTCTTAAAAATACAAAATACAAAAATTAGCCGGGCGTGGTGGCGCACGCCTGTAATCCCAGCTACTCTGGGAGGCTGGGGAGGCTGAGAGGCTGAGGCAGGAGAATGGCTCGAACCCAGGAGGCGGAGGTTGCAGTGAGCCGAGATCGCACCACCGCACCCCAGCTGGGTGACAGAGTGAGACTCCATCTCAAAAAGAAAAAGAAGAAGGTAGAAGAGAGGCAGAAATAAAGAGACAAGAGACAGAGGCAAAGAAGATGGAAAACGGATGAGAGAGGAACAAGAAGAGAATGAAGGAGACACAAAGGAGAGGAAGTCCAGGCGAACAGACTGACAGAGAAACAAAGGCAGACACACAGAGAGAGAAACAGAGAGGAGGGAGAAAGGGGAGAGGGAGAGAGAGAGAGAGACACAGAGAGGAACACAGAGACATACGAAGAGAAAAAGACCATCAGAGAGACAGAGATGGAGAAACAGAGACAGGAGAAAAACATAAAAAAGAACAGGCAGGGCCGGGGTAGTGGCTCACACCCTGTCATCCCTTTGCAGTACTTTTGGGAGGCCGAGGTGGGTAGATCAATTGAGGTCGGGAGTTCAAGACCAACCCATGACCAACATGAGAGACTCCATCTCTACTAAAATTACAAAAACTAGCTGGGTGTGGTGGCGGCACCTGTAATCCCATTTCTCTGAAACTGAGGCAGGAGAATCCTTGAGCCCAGGAGGGTGGATCTTGCAGTGAGCCGAGATCACACCATTGCACTCCAACCTGGGTGACAAGAGCAAAACTTTGTCTCAAAACAGACAAACAATAAAAAAACAAAACAAACAAAAAAAAAGCACCACCAACCCTAGCAGGGAGAGGAGAGACCGGGGAGAGGAACAGAGGCACAGAGGAGGAGAGAGAGAGACAAAGACAGAGAGACACAGAGACAGAAAAAGAAGAGAGAGAGGGAGAGGGACAGATAGAGACAGGGACAAGAGAAAAAGCAGAGAGAGACGTAGGTGGACTCGGAGGCGGAGACAGCCAGAGACACACACAAAGAGAGACCAACGGATGGGAGTGGAAGAGAGACATAGGAAGGAAAGAGACAGAGGAGACAGAAAGAGACACAGACAGAGAGGGCAAGGAGGCAGAAGTGGGGACCCGGTCTCAGCAAGAGTAGAGAGAGGGTGAACAAGGGCAAGGAACTGCGTGAGCGTGCACCCCGAAACCCCATGAACAGTCCTCTCCCACCGCCTCCTCTCTGGCTCAGTCATCTCATGTTGCGGTAAAAGCTTCGGCCAGGCTGGAAAGTCAGGCCAGAGCTGATGCTGCACTCGGGAGGCAGAACCTTCCTGCATTCTCAGAGTAGGAGATGTCATTTTTAGAAAGGGATAAAACTCTTGTCCAGGAACCCCAGCTTGGGATCTTTAGACCTTTGTGAATTAGATGAGGCCCACCCTGCTCATTTAGACCTTCACTACAGTTCAATGACCACCTAAATACATAAAATAAAATGATTATTTTATTGTCTCTTTTTATTTAATTCAAATAGACACCACCACCCTTTGGGATTATATTTGGTTTAGGTGACCTCACTACTTCACTTTGGGTATCAACTAAATTGGGATAAGCTCACTTGAACCCTCATTTGAGTTGGTGGGATGCTTTCTACCACAGGCTTAATTAATTGGTTGCAGCTGCTTACCTTTTAGTTATCAGGCTGCTAGATAGGCCTCTTCCCGCCTTAGACCTTCCAGCTGATTACCACCAGACCCACCTTTCCCCCTTTAGACCTTCAACTGATTAAATGAGGCCCACCCTTCCCCCTTTAGACCTTCCCAGCTGATTACGAGACCCACCTTCCTGTGTTAGACCTTCAACTGATTAGATGAGGCCCACCCTTTCCCCTTTAGACCTTCGCTGATGAGACCACCTTCCCCCTTTAAACTTTCAGCTGATTAGATGAGGCCCACCCTTCCCGCTTAGACCTTCAGCTGATTACATGAGACCCACCACTTTCCCTTTAGAGGCTTCAACTGATTAGATGAGGCCCACCCTTCTCCTTTAGACCTTCAACTGATTAGATGAGGGCCACCCTTCCCCTTTAGACCTTTGATTAGATGAGGCCCACCCTTCTCTCTTTAGACCTTTGACTGATTAGACCATGCCCACCCTTCCCTGTTAGACCCTCAACTGATTAGATGAGGCCCACCCTTCCCCTTTAGACCTTCAACTGATTAGATGAGGCCCACCCTTCCCTTTTTAGACTTTTGACTGATTGTATGAGGCCCACCCTTCCCCTTTAGACCCTCGACTGATTAGATGAGGCCTACCCTTCTCCTTTAGACCTTCAGCTTATTAATTAGATGAGGCCCGCCTTCCGCTGGGCCTTGACTGATTAGTGAGGCCCACCCCTTCCCCATTAAGACCTTCGGCTGATTCTGAGATCCCTCTTCCCCTTTAGACCTTCAACTGATTAGATGAGGCCCACCCCCTTTAGACCTTCAACGCTGATTAGATGAAATTCCCCCGCCCTTCCCCTTTAAACCTTCAACTGATTAGATGAGGCCACCCTTCCCCCTTTAGACCTTCAGCTAATTACATGCAGACCCTACTTTTCCGTTTAGTCCTTCAACTGATTAGATGAGGCCCACCCTTCCATTGTAGACATTCAACTGATTAGATGGGGCCCGCCCTTCCCGTTTTAACCTTCAACTGATTAGATGAGGCCCACCCTTCCCTTTTTTAGGTCTTTGACTGATTAGATGAGGTCCATGCCCCTTTTAGACCTTCAACTGATGATATAGAGGCCCACCTACCCTTTGGACCTTCAACTGATTAGATGAGGCCTACCCTTCTGCACCTCTTTACCCAGACCTTCAGCTTATTAATTAGATGAGGCCCACCCTTCCTCTTTAGACTTTCGACTGAGTAGATGAGGCCCACCCTTCCCCCTTTAGACCTTCAACTGATTAGATGAGGCCTACTTCCCCTTTAGACCTTTGATTAGATGAGGCTTCACACTTCTCTCTTTAAGACCTTTGACTGATTAGACCATGCCACCCCTTCCCTTTGGGCCTTCAACTGATTAGATGAGGCCCACCCTTCACCTGTAGACCTTCAATTGATTAGATGAGCCCGCCCTTCCCATTTAGACCTTCAACTGATTAGGTAAGGCCCCCCTTCCCCCTTTAGCCCTTTAGACCTTCAACTGATTACATGAGACCCACCCTTCCCTTTTAGACCTTCAACTGATTAGATGAGGCCCAGCCTTCCCTTTTAGACCTTCAACTGATTAGATGAGGCCCACCCTTCCCCCTTTTAGAACTTCAACTGATTGAAGTGGGGGGCCCACCCTCCCCTTGGACATGAGCATTAATTCTAGATGAGGCCCACCTTTCCCCCTTTAGACCCAGCTTCAACTGATTACATAAAGGCCCACCCCTTCCCCCTTAGACCTTTGACTGATTAGATGAGGCCTATCCTTCTCAACTATGAACCTTCAGTTTATTAATTAGATGAGGCCCGCCCCTTCCTTTAGACTTTTGACTTATTAGATGAGGCCCACCCTTCCCCCTTTAAACCTTCAACTGATTAGATGAGGCCCACCCTTTCTATTTTAGATCTTCAACAGTTAGGTAGGCCCGCCATTACTAGACCTTCAACTGATTAGATGAGGCCCACCTTTCCTTTTTAGACCTTCAACTGATTAGATGAGTCCCACTTTTCCCTTTTAAACCTTCAACTGATTAGATGAGGCCCACCCCCTTCCCTTTTAGACCTTCAACTGCTTAGATGAGACCCCTTGCTTTCCTGCAAAGACCTTCAACTGATTGAGTAATTCTTGCCCCCTTTAGACCTTCGACTTGATTAGATGTAGCCCACCTTTCCCTGAACTTCAACTGATTAGATGAATCCCACCGCTTATTTAGACCTTCAACTGATTACATGAGGCCCACCCTTCCCATAGACCTTTGACTGATTAGATAGAGAGCACCTTCTCGTTTAGACCTTCCGACTTATTAATTATAGATAAGGCCCACCCTTTCCTTTAGACCTTTGACTTATTAGATGAGGCTACCATTCTAGTCCAATCTTTTTCTCAGATTAATGACTGTGAACTTCTTACCTCTACAAAGCACCTTTGTGGCAGCCCCTAGTCAGGAGTTTGATTCAATAACTGGGGACTGTAGCCCAGTCCCTGAGTCACAGGAACATGTCACTGGTGCCAGGTATCTGTGAATAGGCAAGAGATGAAGGGAAACAGAAAGACTGAACCCAACAGAGGCAGACACATGGGAAGACGGAAATAGAGAGAGAGACTCAGAGATGAAGCAGGGTGCTGGAAGATGGTGAGAGGGGAGAAGAGAACAGAGAGGAGACAAGGAGAAAAGAGGCAAAGAGACAGACTCAACAGCAAGACTCAGGAGGATGACTAAGGGTGAGGACCTGTGTCCCATCCCAGAGCCCAGGGCGTCCTCTCCCCACCCACCTTTCTCCTCAGGGGCTGTGTCTTCCTCCATGGGAACTCAAGATCAACCCAGGAGCTGCCCCAACCTCTTTCCTGCCATATAGGTAACACCCTTCCAGTGCCAACACACCCCGTCCTAGACCCAGCCATCTGTCATTCCGTTACCTTCCCCCCCGCCAGCCTCCTCCCAGCCCAGCCGCCTTCCACTGACCCCCAGGAGTCCCCCACATCAGTGCCAGGATAACAGCTTCAGGCTTCAACCTTCCCTTCTCAAGCTCCATCGGCCCCAGGGGGCCTTAGCACCTGCACCCTGCCCAGTCTGCGCTGCAAGCTCTTCCAAAGGCCACCCTGTTCATCATCAACTATGAGGCCGCATGGGTGGATGCAGCATCTCAGATCTTTACCCCAGGAAAAACCCTGGCCGGGTGCAGTGGCTCACACCTGTCATCCCAGCCACTTTGGGAGAGCCGAGGCAAGTGGATCACCTCGGAATCAGGAGTTCGAGACCAGCCTGGTCAAGATGGTGAAAACCCATCTGTACTAAAAAAGTACAAGAATTAGCCGGGCGTGGCGGTGCATGCCTATAATCCTCAGGAGGCGAGGAGGCAGGAGAATGGCTTGAACTCGGGAGGCGGAGGTTGCAGTGAGCTGAGGTGCGCCCACTGTGTACTCCAGCCTGGGCGTCAGAGCGAGACTCCGTCTTGAGGAGGGAAGATAAATAAACACACCCCGCCTTCCGGAGTCCCAGAGGCTCGGCTGAAGATCGGCCCAGCCTGAATCCTCCTTCTTTCTCAGATTATCTGGGGAGGAATTCACCGCAGAGGAAGGTAAGGTTACGTGAAGAGGTGTTGACCGTGAAAATTACCTGAGGCCGGAGGGTGAGAGGAATGGCGTGGACATCTCTCCGCCTCAGACACTGGGGAACTGTTTTCTTGTTGATGATGCCGTGAGCCTTTATATCATTTTCTACGTTTTTATTTAAAGACATGATGTTTGGGTCCAGGCACGGTAGCTCACGCCTGTCATCCTGGCACTTTGGGAGGCCGAGGCAGGTGGATCACTTGAGGTCAGGAGTTCCAGACCAGCCTGGCCAACATGGTGAAACCCCATCTCAACTAAAAATGCAGAAATTTACCCAGCCGTGGTGGCGCTGCACCTGTCATCCCACCGAGTCGGGAGGCTGAGGCAGGAGAATCCCTTAAACCCGGGAGGCGGAGGTTGCAGTGAGCCGAGATCAACGCCATTGCACACCAACCTGGGTGACAGAGCAGGTGCATCTCAAAAATAATAATAATAATAATAAATAAAAACGTGATCTTTGGCTGGGCGCTGTGGCTCATGCCTGTATTTCCTAACACTTTGGGAGGCCAAAGATGGGAGGTTACTTGAGACAGGAGTTTAAGACCTGGGCAACAGAGCAAGACCCCATCTCTACAAAAAAAATGCAAGAGTTAGCTGGGCATGGTGGCTTGTGCCTGTAGTCCCAGCTATCTGGGGAAGCAGAGTGGGGGATCCACTGGGATTCAAGGTAACGAGTAACCTGTGATTGCACCACTGCACTCCAGCCCAAGTCACAAAACAAAACTCCATCTCATTAAAAAAAAAAAAAAAAAAATTCATGGTCAGGCGCGCCCAGCTCACGCCTGAAATCCCAGCACTTTGGGAGGCTGGGGCGGACAGATCCACCGAGGTCAGGAGATCGAGACCATCCTGGCTAACACGGTGAAACCCCGTCTCTACTAAAAATACAAAAAAATTAGCCGGGCGAGGTGGCGGGCGCCTGTAGTCCCAGCTACTCAGGAGGCTGAGGCAGGAGAATGGCGTGAACCCGGGAGGCGCAGCTTGCAGTGAGCCGAGATCGCACCACTGCACTCCAGCCTGGGCGACAGGGCGAGACTCCATCTCAAAAAAAAAAAAAAAAAAAATCATTTATTATTGTACAGCAAGCACTTGTGGTGAGAGATACTGAGACACAGGCCTCTCTGGTCTAAAAATCCAGTTTTCAGTAGATTGGTCCCTTCAGGAGGACGAAGTGATGATGTAGTTTGGTTGTTGGTCCGTTGTCAATCTCAGGTTGAAATTTGGTTCTCTGGGTTGGAGGTGAAACTGGCAGAAGTGTTTGAATCATGGAGGGCGGACTCTATATTTATAAATGGCTTGGTGACTTTCTAGTAGTCATGAGTGACTTCTTTTTCTATTTGTTCCTGAAAGAGCTGGTTATGAAACAGAGGCTGGTGGCTGGGCACGGTGGCTCACGCCTGTGATCCCAGCACTTTGCTTGGGAGCACAGGCGGGGCGGATCGCCTGGGCTCCAGGAGTTCGAAGCCAGCCTGAAAGCACGGTGAAACCCCGTCTGTATTAAAATACAAAAATTCGCCGGAGCCTGCCGGCTGCGCCTATAATCCCAGCTACTCGGGAGGCTGAGGCAGGAGAATCGGCTTGAACCCGGAGGCAGGGCTTGCAGTACAGGCCAAGATCGCGCCACTGCCACTCCAACCTGGGCCACAGAGGAGTCTCTTGTCTCCAAAGAAAAAAGTAGAAGAAATAGAGGCTGGTACCTCCTTCCCCGCCTCTTGCCACCTCTCCCACCGTGTAACACCAGCTCCCTTGCCTCTCCCCCAGGAGTGGGGAAGTTGCTGGGGTTTTCACCAGCCTTGAACACTGGACCAGTTTGATTCCTGTACACTCAGCAGAATTGTAGGCCAAATAAACCTTATTTGTTATTTTTTGGTTTTTTTTTTTTTTTTTTTGAGGTGGAGTCTCACTTTGTCGCCAGGCTAGAGTCGATGGTGCAATCAAACCACCTGCCTTCCTCCCTGGTTCAAGCCAGTTCCCCTGCCTCAGCCTCAAGTAGCTGGGATTACAAACGTCTGCCCTGTGCCCACAAGTGGGACATGGACATCTTTGGGGCCACTATTCTGTCTCCCACATGGGGATTAGGATGTGGACATCTTTGGAGCTATTATTCTGTCTCCCACATAGGAATTAGGACATGGACGTCTTTGGGGTCATTATTCTGTCTCCCACATGGGGATTAGGACATGGACATCTTTGGGGCCATTATTCTGTCTCCCATGGGATTAGGATTGTAGACATCTTTGGGGCCATTATTCTGTCTACCACATGGGATTAGGACGTGGACATCTTTGGGGCCATTATTCTGTCTCCCACATGGGGATTAGGACATGGACATCTTTGGGGCCATTATTCTGTCTCCCACATGGGATTAAGATGTGAACGTCTTTGGGGTCATTATCCTGTCTACCACATGGGATTAGGTTGTGGACATCTTTGAGGCCCCATTATTCTGTCTCCCCACATGGGATGGGATGTGGACGTCTTTGGGGTCGTGTTCTATATCTCCACATGGGATTAGGACGTGGACATCTTTGAGACCATTATTCTGTCTACCACATGGGATTAGGACGTGGACATCTTTGGGGCCATTATTCTGTCTCCCACATGGGGATTAGGACATGGACATCTTTGGGGCCATTATTCTGTCTCCCACATGGGATTAAGATGTGGACGTCTTTGGGGTCATTATTCTGTCTACCACATGGGATTAGGTTGTGGTGGACATCTTTGGGGCTATTATTCTGTCTCCACATGTGCAGGGATTAGGACGTGGACATCTTTGGGGCCGATACGGCCGTACCAGGGATTTAGGACGTGGACATCTTTGGGGCCATTATTCTGTCTCTCCCACATGGGATGGGATGTGGACATCTTTGGGGCCATTATTGTGTGTCTACATGGGGATTAGGATGTGGGCGTCTTTGGGGTCATTTTCTGTCACCACATGGGATAAGATGTGGACATCTTTGCAGGGCCCTTTAACCACTGTGTATCATATGGGGGATTAGGACGTGGACATCTTTGGGGCCATTATTCTGTCTCCCACATGGGATTAGGACGTGGACATCTTTGGGGCCATTATTCTGTCTCCCATGGGATTAGGATGTAGGACGTCTTTGGGGTCATTATTCTGTCTCACATGCCCAGGGATTAGGACGTGGATATGTTTGCAGGACATTATTTTGCACTCCCACTATCAGTGAGGGATTCCCATCCCCACCACAGATGTAACGTCCACTGAGATGGTGGCTGACAGGTGGTCTAGAGCATACAGGGGACTTCAGGGCTTGGCGCCGAGAGACAGCTCAGTTTGGAATGGATCTGACCGATGAGATGGCAGCTGTCTCCTTCGTCATGGGTATTTATGTCCACTCCTGCAAACCCGGCCAGCCCCTTGCTTCCAAGTTTCAGGATTTGATGATGGAGCTTGGACAACCTTCTGGAACCTTCACCTGCAACCTTTTGATTCACAGGTCAAAGCTTGGGGAGAGGGAGATGAGGCCAGGCTCTTGGTATTGGGGAGCGTCTAAAATACAGCAGGAAGAAAAAGTGTGGGAATCCCCTGGACCCACTAGAAGTGAGGCAGAAACCCCCACGGACCACCCCAGGAAGCAGGTTCACCTCCCTAAGGGAGCACCACATCCCTGGGTAGGAACCTGTAGGTTTCAGAGACCTGAGGTCCCACTTAGCTCAGAAGCAGAGGCCTCAGGTGTCAAAGAGATAGCAGAGGCCGGGCGTGGTGGCCGTGCCTCCCAGCACTTTGCCAGGCCAAAGCAGGTGGATCACTTGAGGTCAGGAGTTCAAAACCAGCCTGGCCAATATGGTGAAACCCCATCTCTACTAAAAATACCCAAAAAAAAGCTGGGCGTGGTGGCAGGCGCCTTTAATCCCAGCAACTCAGGAGACTGAGGCAGGAGCATCGCTTGAACCAGGAAGGCAAAGGTTGCAGTGAGCCGAGATTGCACCATTGCACTCCAATCTGGGCATCAGAGAGGAGCCATGGCCATGCAATGGTGGCTCCACGCCTGTAATCCCAGCACTTTGCGAGGCCAAGGCAGGCAGATCACTTGAGGTCAGAAGTTCAAAACCAGCCTGGCCAACATGGCAAAATCTCATCTCTGCTAAAAATACAAAAAAAAAAAAGTCGGGTGTGGCGGCAGGCATATATATCTCAGCTATTTGGGAGCCTGGAAGCAGGAGAATCACTTGAACCCAGGAGGCGGAGGTTGCCGTGAGCGAGACTGTGCCATTGCACTGCAGCCTGGGTGTAGAGCAGGACTCCCATCTCAAAAAAAAAAAAGAAGAAAAAAAAGAAGCTGTGTGGTCTTAGGTGGCTAAGTTCACCTTAATCCCAGCACTTTGGGGCCTTCGAGGAGCGAATCACGGTCAGGAGTTGAGGCCAGCCCAGCTAACACGGTGAAACTCCGTCTCTGCTAAAGATACAAAATCTTAGCCGGATGTGGTGGGGTGTGCCTGTAATTGCAGGTGCTGTACTCAGGAGGCTGAGGCAGGAGAATCGCTTGAACCGGGGAGGTGGACAGGTTATTAGTGAGCCGAGATCATGCGGTGCACCCGGCCTGGGTGAGAGGATGAGACTCTGTCTCTAAATAAATAAATAAATAAATAAAAAGAGCAAGCAGAGATAGGGTCTGCGATGACTGAGGCCCCTGAAGGCTGGAGATCCAGCCCTCCTGTGTTCTCTGGCACCTGAGGACCTTCTCCCAGATGGGTGGGCAGAGGCTGTCAGCTCTCGGCTGAGGAAGGAGCTTCTGCCCGACCGGGCACTGCCCACTGTTTAACCCCTGCACCTGCCAAGCCCCTGCGCCTGCCCAGCCGCACTGCACCTGCCCCAACCCCACTGCACCTGCAAGCCCCACTGCACCTGCCCAACCGCACTGCACCTGCCCGACCCCACTGCACCTGCCCCAACCCCTTGCCCCCTGCCCAACCGCACTGCACCTGCCCAACCCCACTGCACCTGCCAAACCTCACTGCACCTGCCCAACCGCAC